GCTTTTTTCCCACGTTCAACAAACTTAATTACTGTAATAAAATCACGCTCGGCGTTCGCATGAACACTGTATATTACGAACTAACAAACTGCGAAATTTGACGGCACTCAGACACGGCGAAAAAAAAAGCACCCGAATACTCCCGCAAATTATCACTTTGCACTATTGTCCAACAGGTCCTTAGCTTCATTGATTTTGGCAGCAATGTAAGGCGAACCACCGCGATCAGGATGGTTGAGAACCATAATTCGCTTATGCGCTTCTTTGATCCTGCGCTCATTTGAAGAAGGTGAAATTCCTAGAATCAAGGCGGCTTCTCTACGAGTCATTTTTGGATCAAATCCACCTTTGTAGTACATGCTTCCGGTGAATGACTGAAGAGAGCATGAAAAATTATCGATAAAGGCATTTTGTCAAGTTCCACAAAGGGCCTAATGCATTCCAATGGCACAGCAGCGGGCAATGAATGATTGACATAATGGATTTACAATCAATTTTCCATGAAGAAGATTATCCGAAGCAGGGTCCACAATCCGAAAAAAAATCGTTCGAGGTAAAACACCACTTTATACGCTCATAATATTTTTAGAATTATTACAGTTGGGCCCAAGATGCGGACATAATTGGTACTGCACATTTGATCACATTTTCCACAATTTCAATGAGAACATATTTAATTGGTTTTTCTGTTGGGTAAAAATGCAAAGAAAGTCCTACAAAAAGCAGAATAAATATTTTTCTTAACTTTGGGATACAGCACTGAAAAATAGTAGAAGAAATTCACAAACAATCTACCCCTTTTTGAAGAAAACAAGCACACATCTTCCTACTTGTGCACAGATGGGGAAACCATGAAAAGAGAAACACAAAATTATTTCAGATTATCAATTAGAGCTTATTTAAATATGGTTTATTTGGAAATTTTGTGAAAATGAATAGATCAATTTGTTCGAGACATACAAATAAAAAAAACCAAAATATTCCCTTTCTTGTTGACATTTTGGCAAACGTTCTGTATCTCGAGACACTGTCGAGAAATTGGGGCAGGGTTTTAGAAATCGAAGTGTCCTTGAAGACAAATCGTTCATGCGTCGGGGCCCCAATGCACACTTATCACTGC